TTAGGGGAAAGTTTATAGCTCTAAGTGCCTACATCAAAAAATCGGAAAGAAAACAAATAAATGACTTAATGTTGCAACTCAACACACTTGAAAAGCAACAGCAAACAAAACCCAAACCCAGCAGGCAAGACACAACACACTTGAAAAGCAACAGAAAACAAAACCCAAACCCAGCAGACAAGAAAAAATAAAAATCAGGGCAGGAATTAGTGAAATTGAAACAAAGAAAACAATACAAAGAATCCACAAATCCAAGAGCTGGTTGTTTGAAAAGATAAACAAGATTGACAGACCACTAGCCCAGTTAACCAAAAGAAAGAAAGAGCACCTCCAAATCAACAAAATCAGAGTTAAAACGGGAAACATCACAACAGACACCAGGAAGATACAGGACATTATAAGGGAATACTTTAAAAACATATATGCTACTAAATTTGAAAACCTAAACAAAATGGACAGATATCTAAAGGCTTGGGAACCACCAAAACTAAAACAAGAAGAGATTAACAGCTGAAACAGATCCATAACACAAAAAGAAATTGCAACAGTAATACAAAACCTCCGGACTAAAAAAGGCCCAGGACCAGATGGATTTACAGCAGAATTCTATCAGACATTTAAAGAAGATCTGCATCCAATGCTACTTAATTTATTCAAAAAGATTGAAATGGAGGGAGAACTTCAAAATTCCTTCTATGAAGCCAACATGACTCTAATACCTAAGCCAGGTAAAGATACAACCAAAAAAGAAAACTATAGACCCATATCCATAATGAACATAGATGCAAAAATTCTCAACAAGGTACTTGCAAACAGCATACAGACACACATCAAAAAGATCATCCACCATGATTAAATCGGCTTTATCCCAGAGATGCAGGGATGGTTCAATATACTTAAGTCAATAAACGTCATAAATCATATAAATGGGCTCTAAGAACCACATGGTCGACTCAATAGATGCAGAGAAGGCATTTGACAAAATTCAACATGCATTTATGTTCAAAGTCCTAGAGAGAATTGGACTGGAGAGAACATGCCTCAACATAATTAAAGCCATATATAACTAACCCACAGCCAACATCATTCTAAATGGAGAAAAACTGGAAGCATTCCCATTGAAATCAGGAACCAGACAAGAGGCTGCCCGCTATCCCCACTTCTCTTTAACATAGTACTTGAAACTCTTGCAAGAGCAATAAGATAAGAGAAGGAAATTAAAGGAGTAACAATTGGAAAAGAAGAGCTCAAATTATCCCTTTTTGCAGATGATAGGATATTTTATCTAAGGGATGCCAAAAATTCCACCTGAAAACTCCTAGAAATTATTAACGTGTTCAGTAAAGTGGCAGGTTACAAAATTAACTTATAAAGTAGCCTTTCTATATACCAATAAAAATCAATCAGAGAAAGAGCACATGGAAACACTATCCTTCACAATAGCTGGAAAAAATAAAAAATCTCTGAATAAACCTTACCAAAGGCATTAAAGACCTCTACAATGAAAATGTTAAATCTTTAAAGAAAGACATTAAGGAAGACATCAGAAGGTGGAAGGACCTCCCATGCTCATGGATTAGAAGAATTAATATTGTGGAAATGACCATCCTACCAAAAGTCATTTATAGATTCAATGCAATGCCAATCAAAATGCCCATGACATTTTTCACAGAATTGAAAAAAAATCTTAATATTCATATGGAAGCACAAAAGACCTCGGATAGCCAAAACAACCCTGAGCCCTAAGAGCAATGCTGGGGGGAATACTATGCCAGATTTTAAGCTGTATGGCAGTGCTATAGTCATAAAAACAACATGGTACTGGCACAATAATAGACTCATAGATCAATGGAACAAAACTGAAGACCCAAATATGAAGAAATACAATTTCAGCCACCTGATAGTTGACAAAGGGGCCAAGAACATTTACTGGAGGAAAGACAGCATGTTCAGCAAATGGTGCTGGCAAAACTGGATCTCC